CTTTCCCTTTCCACCAGCTCAGTTTGGATACTCAGTCTGCAGTGCTGTGTCCTAGTGAGTGTGACTGATTCCTCCATTACCCCCTCTGGCTAAATGCAGCTGCTTATGACAGTAGCTCTTTGTGTGTGGGCTCTTCATGGCTCTCTCAACAGTTGCTTGAGGTGTAGTTGATGGAGTTGAGTGATTCACAGTGTCCTGTAGAAAATGTACAAAATAGGGCAGAAGAGTCAGGCCATAAAATGCCTGAAAAGGCAGCAGGAGGTTGCACATTTTTAGGTTGAGGCTAGCCCTGTAGATAATGGGAAGCTGGGGGAGATAAATCTGACCCTCAGGGGTTGCCCCATCAAGACACACCTTAAACTGAAAAGGCACATCAGGGAAAGAAACTGGGGCAAGGACTGAACTTGTGATTGCTGCTACCCCCGGGGGCATCTACCTGCCTTGTGCCAGGCAATGTACAAGTGGAGATGTGCCTGGTCTGTATCCCTGCAGGTTGCCTGATGTCTACACCCACTTCCGAAAAGCGGTGGAATCTCAGGTGAAGGTCCGGCCAACCCTGCCGGTGGCAGATCAGCTAAAGCCTCTGCCTCCAGGGCTGGAAGAAGGGTGTATCCCTACAATGGAGGATTTGGGACAGAAGGGTAAGGAAACTTCATTGGGCAGTTGCTGCCATGAAATCCTACTTAGAGATGTCGCTGAGAATCTTGCGTGGAGGCAGGTGGTTGCTCTTCAAACTGTGACTAAACCTCTGTTCCCTCATACAGCAAATAAAAGTAAATTTCCTGTGTGGAGGAGCTGACCTCCTCCAAGTGGAAAACATCCTCTTAACCAGCAGTTTTTAATGTGCCCCTTGTTTCAAAGAAAGACAAGTCTCTTATTTCCCCTAAGCAGACATCCCTACTGCTGCACTAGATTTTAAGCCTCTGAGATGTTTTCCAGCAGGGTAACAAGGTGATGGTGTTTTATATGGCAGATCCTGTGACTGATCCACGAACAGCCTTCCCCTGCAGTGGAGGAGAGACCCAGGCTTTAATGAGACTGCAGTATTATTTTTGGGACACGGTAACTCTTACATTTCCTTGTCTGCATCCTCCCCCTTGTCCCTATGGCTGTGCAAGTGGGTGAGGCTGCTATTTCACTTCCCCATAATATTGCCTTATCTCCTGTATAACACTTTACAGAGGAGGGAATCAGCCTTATATCAGTTTTTCAGAGAGACAAAGAATCAAAAAGAAATAATCCAGGATCTGGGAATGCAAGCCAAATACTTAGGAACGTAGTTTAGTGGCCATCCCTCTTATTAAGTCTTTTTTTCCATCAGCTTTTGGGAACTGGCACAATTTTTTGGCTCCTTTAACTTGATCTGCCCTTTCTACTGTCATGTCCCATGTCAGCAGCCATGTAGTTTCTCCATTTTGGAGGAGTGAAAAGTGGCCTGAAGGGCTGCACTTGTAATTGGGGTGAGGAACAACTGACTAAAGCTACTGCCCACAGTTATAAACAGTAGGAGGTTCCTAGTGGTCTGGTTTAAAAACTTGCAGCCCATAATTACAGCTACTTCTTCTTCTCTTTGTTTGAGTGACACAGCTGCTCACTGCATTTCATCAGTACATCCTGGCCATCTTTGAACCTTTCCCTGGTCTCATTTGTGAAACTACCTTAAATTCACTTGCTGTGAGTTTAGACAAAGATATGAGTGCTCATTTCCTACAGCATCAGATCCTGTGCAACTTTTTGGGTAAAGGGAGTAAGAAGTCTGCTGTGCCCAGCATGCTCACTGGGATGTTCCCCAGGGAATTCTTTCTCCCCAGTGCTACCCACGTTCCTGCATTCCCTTGCTGTTGGGGAGCATTGTTGTGGTCTCACCCCAGCCAGCAGCTCAGCCCCACGCAGCTGCTCCCTCACTCCCTGCCAGTGGGGTGGAGGAGAGAATCAGAAGGGTAGAGGGAAAACTTGTGGGTTGACATAAAAACAGTTTAATAGGTAAAGCAAAGGCTGTGCACACAGGCAAAGCAAAATAAGGAATTGTTTCACTGCTTCTCATCAGTGATCAGATGTTTAGTCATTTCCAGGAAAGCCGGGCTCCATCACGTGTTAGGGTTACTTGGGAAGGCAAACACCATAATTGCAAACATCCCCCCTTTCCCTCCTTCTTCCTCCAGCTTTCTGTTGCTGAGCATGATGTCTGATGTGCTGAGCTTGCTTATTGGGGTGGTTGAGGAGCAGCAAAGGCCTTGAGGCTGTCTAAGCCCTGCTCAGCAATGACAAAAACATCCCTCTGTTATCAACACTTCAGCACAGATCCAAAACTCAGCCCTGTGCAAGCTACTATGAGGAAAATTTACTATCCCAGCCAAAACCAGTATAAGTTGCATAGCTTCTACTTTTAGTCAAGCATTAATGCAATCAGTGCTGGAAAACCTGTTCCTGTGGTTTTGTTATGTAGATGTGAGCCAGAACAGCCCTTTAGCAACTGTAACCTGTGCAGCCCAGGGGATCAGAGGGTGATCAGGCTTCCTTATGTCCTCTGCCCTGTCAGTGCTCAGAAGATGGAAGATCTACACTCTGCTGTAAATGTGGGTGGCCCAGAAGTGACAGTGATCAGGGTTACTGCAGCAGAGTGTTGGGTACTGTTGGACACTGTGGTTCTTGCATCCAAACCAGCAGCCACATGGGAAGGGAACCAGCCACCAGTCCCACTGCTGCTTGTAAGTGGATTATTGATCCAGAGTCAGGCTGGCAGCAGCACAGCCAGGTTCATAGTGCTCAGAGAAAGAATTGTGCTACAGGCTGAAGGGGAGCATGGCTTGTGACACACATCCCAGAGCTGTAATGAAAACTGCTGGCCTGATTAATTCCTGTGCACTGGAGGCAGTAATTTGGCAGCTCTGTAATCCTTGCCGGCAGCCATGAGAGGGAGCCCAGCCCTGCCAGATCACCCTGGCTCCAATATGAAATAAAACATATTTAGCAGGTTGCACCCACAGTATTAAAACTCTTTTGTTCTCTTGCTCACACAGAACTTGGTTGCATCTTACAAGGAGACTCGGAATGGACTGGTGGGCATGGATTACTCAACCAAATTTGCACCGTGGTAAAGATTTTTATTGTGAGACTAGAGTCTCCCTTTCTGCTCTCATGCTCACTGGGCATGGATAAGGTCTAGGTGTGATTCCTTTTGCCCTTTTTGTTGGGGTAGAGCAGCTTCAGAGCTGCTCTTTATTGTGCTTCCAGGCAGTGGTTCCCTGGGAAGGTTCCTGCACGTAGGAATTGCTGAAGTGTGGCAGGGCTGTGCCAAGAGCCCAGTGTGCAGGGGTGTGGACAGGACACTGGAGAAACACACCACTTGTCTTTGGCTGTGTGCTGGTTTGTGCATCAGGAGTTGTTGAGAGCAGCCTGGGGAGAAGTGTGTTGATCAGGTTGGAGGAGAACTCAATCCAGCCCTGGTTTGCTGAGCACTCCAGAGCAAGTCACCTCACTTCACTGCCATTCTCTTTTTCTGTGGGGTGAAGAGACACTTGTGATTATTGCTATTGCAAAAGCATCTCTTGTTTGGGTAAACACGATGACTTTTAATGAGAGGTTTTAGTCTCCAGGGCTGGAAGGGGCAGAGTTAATTTTGGGCTGAAACTGCAGCAAGCAGAAGCCAGTTCAGCCTAATCCTGAGAGCATCTGGAGTGTTTTCCCGACAGAGTTGCAATATGAAACTTATTTTTTGATGCTGTTACAGGCCAGGATTTATTTTCAGCTGACCTTGCTTTAATGGTGGCAGTGGATGGCTCCACCTGGTGGCACTTGGGGATCCCAGGACGACTGGCACTGCAGAAGTTCTTTATTTGTGGCCTCCACTCCTGTTCTTCCAAGCTGGCCAATTGCCCAGAGCAGACAGTCCTGATCTGCCTGCCCCAAAGTGTTCCTCGGCCAGATCATCAAAATCAGACTGGCTGGGATTGCAGCCAGTCATTCTAATCTCATACTGCCCATTTCTAAGTGTTATAACCGGCCACAAATTAAGGAAAAAACTCTTCTGCTCCTATCTTCCTGTTTTCCAAAATTCGTCAGAACATGAAATGTTTCCACAAGCCCTAGGGAGAAATTGCAGTAAAATACAGTTCTAGAAAAATCAAGGTAAAAGTTATTCCTTATCACCCTTTGCTGTGGGGTTGGAGTCTGCAAGCTCTTTGTGTCTTGCACAGTGCTGATTTGGAACAAGTGGAAGGAGCCCAGTGGGTTGAAATGCCAGAGCTGGGTTTGAGTCCCTAGTTTTTCTACCCTGCCTGGGATTTTCAGCAAGTCACTTCCCTTCTGTGGTTGCTCAAATGCAACACTAAAAGTACATCAGGAAAAGGAGCCCTGGGCACATGATAAATAGGTCTGTACTGAAAGGAGGGCTGTGGAACAGCCAGGACAGCTGGTGCAGAGGTTGACATCTGGGATCCATTTCTGGGTTTGTCATGGGTGTGCGAAGTCACCAACTGATCAATTCTTCCAGGCAAAACTTGTCAGGCTTGTGTAAAATTCTTTATCTCAGTAGCCTGAAAACACCTGTAATTCATGCACTGGGAAAGGGAAGATTTTGATTCTCAGATTGCAGCGTTGCAAAAAATCCACACCGCTTGACTAAAGCTATTTGGGAAGTCAGTGGCATAACTGCAAACCAAGCAAAAGTTTTCAGACAACTCTAGACACAAAACTGCACCTCCACACAGATGCCAAGCTCTCAGTCCTGCATCACATTCAGGACATCACTCTTCTGCTTTCAGGCTGGCTCTGGGCTGCATTTCTCCTCGGTACATCTATGAGCAGATCAAGAAGTATGAAAAGGAGAGAACAGCAAATGAGAGCACATACTGGTATGACCTTGCACTGTCAGTGTGGTTTGTTTTCTCTGAAAAGGAAGCTGGTATCTCGGGCACAGGAGAGAGTGATTTGTTAGCTTTCTTCTTAATTAACGTGGGTTTTTTTTCCTGCTGTCTGGTTTCTCTGGGTTGTGTTGCAGTTCTGTTTCAGCATGGATTTATTAGTCTGTCTTTGACACCCAGAGGCTTTAGGAACTTTATAAGTAAAGAGTAATGCTAGTTGGCATTATTATTATTATTGCTGGGAAATTGTGGTTTATGATTTTTAAAACTGATCTCTGAAAATCGTCACCATCCCTCTCTGTATTGTTATCATGGGCTAGATGAGAAGGAAGGAGAATGATTTATAAAGAGAAGCCAAGGGGTTTCTCACACCAAGCAACTGAGCAGGTTTTCACCCAAAAAGCTCAGTGGCTGTGTGACATGGTGTCAGGAGGAGCTCTGGCCACACTCCAGCAAATGGCCCCGTGATTGCTCAGCTGCGAAGGGGAAGTGGGGACTGGGAAGTGGGTTTAATGCATCCTGCCCTGTCACCCATGCTCTTCCTCACCTCACTGCTGGCTGCTCACCTGCCTGCATGCTGTCCTGAGGGAAGCTGGGGGAGAGCTGAGGTCAGTGTCTCCATCCCTGGGCTGGCCTTGAACTTGCTCATGCACTGTGATCAGCCCAAACACTGTGAATTAGAGCCTGGTAGGGAGCTCTTATGGAGAAGCAGGTTCATGTTAGAGCCTGGCCAGACACTAGGCATAGATGGGGGAAAAAAAAACAAACCACAAAGTCTTTGAAAACTGTAGAACTTTGCATGGGTTTGTTACATTTGCAACATGTAAAACAGCACAGTGGCTGGTGAAGAACAGGCAGAATATTGCCAACAATTCTGGCCAAAATACTCAATTCCATTAAATTTCAAGTGACAGATAAAATATTGACCTTTTGCTTATTGAAGTATTTTTTCTTCAAAGACAATTAAGAGAGTAAAGATTTCAATAATTTAACATACTCATGTTTTTCTAATAGTCAGCCAGCCTGCCTGCAGCTGGAGTGCCATGGTGATCTGAGCATTTAGAAGTGATAAATAATTTTAAACAAGAAGGTAAATTGTACAGAAAAGTACAGGTCATGGTGGCTGCACATGAGGGACTGCTTGAACCTCAGTACCCTGGCACCAGTTAGCATTTGGACAGGGTCCTGTTTTGTAATCAGGTTTTCCAGAAAGATCTTCTCATCCTACAAATCAGCTGAGCAGAGTATTCCCAATATACCAGAGAGAACTGCAGCAGGTCTCAGAGGCTGAGGTGCCATTGTTGATAAGAAGCACTAGAAGAGTTTTTATAAAAATGTGTCTATTTTCTGCAGGCCTAGCACCTGAGCTCATGAGCTAGACCTCTGCAAACCCAGTTTTGAAAGGTGCTTTAAGCCCCTTCCAAAGTTTATCACTTAAATCAAGGCAGAGCTCCTAGAAATGTGTTGACATGCTTGCTTCTGCCGGAGTGTGGGGCTGAATCAGGTCCTCACCCTGCTCTTTGGAGGACTACATCCCACTAGGGACTGTTGAGAAAACAGGTTTCCTGAAATTCCGCTCCTGCTCCCAAGTTCAGGAGAGCTTCCCAAGGGATTAATGCAGTTTGGTTTCACTGTGCAAGTGCAAGCTGGAGAAGCAGGCTTGGGGCAAGGACTGGTATCATGGGAAGGTTTGTGAAATTGCTCCTTGTGCATGAAGCTCAGGGTGTTAACAATGGGTGCTGAGGAAGCAAAATCCTAATCCAGTCATTTTATCTGAGCTTTTATCAGTGAAATACAGACATGGCTTTGTGTTTTAGGGTCTTGTTTGAACTGCTGTGGAGGGATTACTTTCGATTTGTGGCCCTGAAGTATGGCAACAGGATTTTCTCATCAAGAGGTGTGTATGGATCACCTTGTTTGGAAAAGGTACAGTCTTACTGCAAGGGAAGTGAGAGAAAAGGCTGTCAGCATTGTGTTGTGCCAATGTGCTTCTCATAGTGCTTGTGTCACCACCTTGGGATGTTGCTGAGGACTTGCTCTTACCACAAGAAGAGCCTCAACACCACAGTGCTGGACACTCTGTAGATGCTGAGTCTTTTGCCCAGAGTCTGATTGGACATGGGAAGTGTTATTAACACGTGTCAGTGGGAAACAGCAGCACAATAAGAGTAAAGATGCTGTTTCCGGAGACACTCCACTTTTGGACAGAATCCAGGCTTCAGACTTGCCCAAGCTCACCAGAGAATCTGGTGCAGGAACCAGCCTAGCAGTGTGAATCCCAAGAACCAACATGGGCCTAAATTGAGCTGTTTGGAGCCAGAGCTGAGTCATCCCTGCTGCCTCCAGTCCACTCTACAGAGGACTGTCATTGCCACAAACCCCTGCAAATATAAAGTCACCCCCCTCACCTGTTCCTACCCTCCAGGAGCAAAGTGTTACTGGGGGCTTCTGCCAGGTAATTCTAAGTTTAGTATCTGCTGCAGAAACAGATTTCAGATAAACATTGACATGGAGTAAAACTGACAAGTTTTTTAAGAAAATACTATCTCTGCACTCGGGGCCAGAGCACATCTCTGGCCCCTTGTGAGGTCGGAGTAGTTTTTAATTTAAAAAGAGCAAATGCCAATAAAACAAAGAATCAGAATTTATTAGGGGTTGAGCATCCTCCCTGTACACAAGACACCCCTTTTGCAACACCTGAAAGGAGGAATGGATCATCTCTGAACCTTTGCAGAAGGAACGTGCCTCGTTTGTAATAGCACTGAGAGGGCTTCACCCTAACATCTTGTGTCAAGCAAGGTGCCTCTGGCTGGCATTGTGTGATTAATAACTGCTTGCATCAGCTTTGTCTTCATTAGCAGTTCTTTTTTTTTCCTCAACAGGGCTTCAAAGTAAAGAGATCCCCTGGAAAAAGGACCTTCAGCTCTTTGACTGTTGGAAAGGTCAGTAAAACCACAGGTTTGGCTAATTGTGCTTTTGGTTTCCTGGTGTCTGCCCTGCTAGCATGTGTCCTAACAGGTGTTTGTAGGGGAACTGTCACTGTGATCAGGCCCTGTCGTTTAAACTGTTACCACCAAACAAGAATCCAGCCCCTTGGTTGGGTGTGAGTGCAGGGTGCTTGGCTTCCCTTCTGAGACTGAGTACCCCACAGGAGCAGGCCCAAGGGGTATCATGAATGGCCAGGCTCTTGTCTGGCTGCTAGATGCTTTGTGAGGTGCACTGCAGTTAGATTCTCCTGTCCTGGTGAAAGTGTTAATGACCTGTTGGTCCCTTCTGTTTAGTCACACACAGGCTGACCAGCCCTTCCTATCAATGCTGAATTTTTCTTCCAGTTGGTTTTGGTTAAAAAGTTAAAACAACCTTAGAATAAATCACATCTCTAATTATGAATAAATCACATCTTTAATTGTGAACAAATCACATATTTAACCTTTTAATATCCTTGATTTTCTTTAGCTTTTTAAATTTTGGTATCACATGAATAGCAAGTGTATTTCAAATTAAACCAGACTAACATTAAAGCATCAGAATCAGTGAAATACACCCCTATGTGTCTTTCTTCCCACGTGTGTCCATTTGCACACAGGTACAACACATCTTTTCCTTAACAACAGACACAGCTCTCTACTTTTCAGGTGCTAGCCCTTGGGGGCTTGCCCAGTATATCCATCTCTGGTGTTAGCCACCTGTCAAGAATGTTTCTGCTCTTAGCCCATCTAACTATTCTTTGTATATTTGTTTTTGCTCTGCAAAATTGCCTGCGATCCACCTGGTTGTTTTCCAGCCTTAGACTTTTCTGCTCCTTGTTGTTTGTTTTTGTTGTGGTTTTTTTGTTGTTGTTTTTTTCTTGCCAAGGATTCTCCTCCTGTTAATTTTCAGTCTAATTTCCCATTTATTTCCTAGTGGATCTTAGTAGCTTCACACCAGCTAAACCTCTTCCTGCCTCTCTACGCTCGGCACCGTCTTACCTGCTTGGATGACTGCGAGTGCACAACCACGGGTTGGTTTAGGAGTGTCCAGAAGTGCCATCACATCCCAGCACTGGCTCTTGTCTTTGCAGAGGGCAGAACAGGGGCTCCTTTTGTCTTTGCAGAGGGCAGAACAGGGGTTCCCTTTGTTGATGCCAACATGCGAGAGCTGGCAGCGACGGGCTTCATGTCGAACAGAGGGCGGCAGAACGTCGCCAGCTTCCTCACCAAGGATCTGGGGCTGGACTGGAGGATGGGGGCAGAATGGTTTGAACACCTGCTGGTAAGACTTAACTCTCTGTGTGTCTTGAGTTTGTGCTCCCTGCACAGCTCTGCCTAGTAAGGAAGGGTATGGAACGTGATCAGTAATTTTCAGGCACGTATATTCTGCTGGCATGGCATGCACCTCCCAAAGCTCAAGAAGATAAGGGAGTTATGCCTCAGTGGTGCTACAGCAACCAAGATGTAGCTAGGGACTTAGCAGTGATGATCTTGATCCTCCATGTAGTGTTTTAGCCAGAGATCTGTCACACTTGAGAAAACTTTCAAGTTAACAATGTGCCAATTGCTCACCCCAGAGGCTGGGGAGGGGCACAGCCCAGAAATAGAACATAAAAAGAAAAGCATTCTGGCCACTGGAGCCAGTGCTGGCACAGTGGCTTTGCATTGATGGCTGTGGACATCGAGTTCATCTAGTCAAGGGCGAGTTGGGACAATAGCTGGATCAGCATCCAGAGAGCTCCACCCTGGCTGGAGGCATCCTTCTTCATTCTGGTGAGTCAGGCCTCCCTGCCCACTGGGTTCTTTTCCTCACATGCCAATGAGCAGCCTTCCAAGCTCAGTTAAATAGGTGGGTTGCTCCTCAGTCCCCATAGCTTCTTCCTAGGAAGGTCTGCACAGGCTGGCAGTCCCCAGCTCAGAGGCACAGGCTCTGTGTGGCTTTGCTTGGCTGCCATTACCTCTGGTGATGCTGATGAAGTGACCATCAGACCATCATGCTGAGTGGTGAAAACCAATTCTGAAGGAAGTGAATTGGCATTTGTTCTTAACCAGACTGAATGCTGCAGGTGGAAAAAGACTAAGTACTAGTATCAGCCTCACAGTAAAGATCTTGTCTGTGGGATATAAGAGGCTACTGGTAATCAGGAAACTCTCTACTCACTAAGATGGCTGGAGGTACAGAGAAAGCCCAGTCTCCTCACCTTTGTCTGCAATTAAAGAGCCTTTTTTGTAACTGTAATTTTTATTATTTTTAATTTTTTTTTGAGCCTCCTTGGAGCTGGGGTCTGGCTTGGCTTTGTCTGTGGAGATCTATAAGAAGATCTGGGTGCTCTTCCCATCACTGGAACTCACACCAGTTCTGTGAGCACTGGTGGCTTGCACAGTAACATGGTGCAGGACTTCTGTAGGATCCTCCAGAAAGTGGTGTTGGCAGGTCCATGCAGTGATGCTTCCCCAGATAAGAGCAAGAGCACCAGAGAACTTGTATTGGAAAATTAGTGGCCTTATCCTTCATAACATGGATGGAATTTGGGGTGGAAAATCTTTCCCTGAGAGCATTTTTTTGCAGTTTCAGTGAGTTGTACAAGATAGCTGATACCCTGTGTGCCCTAAGCTTTGCAGCAGTGAATGGCCAAGCAGGAACTGCCTTTCAGGGTAGCCTGAGTGCATGGTATGTGACACCAGTGGCTCACCAGAACAATGGTACAGCACACACAAATGCACAGAGGTATCTACATGTTCCTGTCCTGCAGAGTGAGCCTCTAGGACCATTTTGGATGTTTTGCATTATCTGGCTTTTGATGGGTGCCATCAACTATGGCTTTCAGAGCAGTTACAAAGGTGACTTCATTTCACAGAGAGGGCAACTCCTCCACGTGCAGGCAAACCTCCTACTCAGAGTCCCCAGCTGATTGAGAGCTGGGAGCCAGAAATTTAGGTTTTGCTCTGATGAGCAGGCAGCCTTGCCTCCCTCCCTCAGATAGGAGCTTGGTTCACTTTGCAGTCAGACTCAAAGGGCCATGGGAGATTCCACTTCCTATTCCCCAAGTGAGGAAAACCTGGAAAGACACTCCCCACGTTACTTACCTTGCTTCATATGGGCATGAATGTTACCAGCCTTGCTGGAAGCAAGATTTGGCACTCTGCACTAGCCCTTTCATCTTGGGAAGCCCCAGATGCTGTCATGGCACAGGCTGATCTTTGTGCCTTTCTGTCCCTTCCTTCAGCCTGTGCCACACTGATGTATTGCTTGACAGCACTGTTTCGTTAACTTGGTGACATTCCCATGTAAGATACAGGAGATACCAGTTTGATGTTGGAGAGATAGCTCCAGAATAAGGGACCAGTTCAGAACAGAAACTGGTCCCACTTGCCTCCAAAAAGGAAAAGCAATGCATTTTTCCATCTCTGATACTCCTAGCAAAGGTTTACAGAATGTTTATCACAGAATCATAGAATGGTGAAGGTTGGAAGGGACTTTAAAGATCATAAGGTTCCAAACCCCCTGCATGGGCAGAGACACTTTCCCCTAGACCAGGCTGCACAAGCCTCATCCAACCTGCCCTTGAACACCTCCAGGGATGGGGCTTCCACAACTTCCCTGGGCAGCCTGTTCCTATCCTCTTAGAGAAGAACCTCTTTGTGATGTCTAACCTGAATATCCCCTCCTTCAGTTTAAAACCATTACTTCTTGTCCTATCATCACCCTCTCTGGTGAAAAGCCCCTCCCCAGCTTTCCCCAGTTTGCATGTGAAGAAAAGGGTGTTTGTCATCCACAATAGACAGCAGGGGCACTAAGGGAAACTCTCTGCAACTTGCCAGGGACCTCTGGTGTTCTGACCAGAGAATATCTCAGCTATGATTTCATTCACCATGTCAGGCCCCAAGGAAATGGAGAGAAACAAAAAGAAGAGAATGCCAGGAAGGGGCAAGGCTGAGGGGGAAATGAGCCTGCCTCCTCCAGTCCCCCTTGGGATTTGCCCTCACCTTTCCTGTGTGTTAATCCCCCAATCAGGCCTCCAATGGCATCTTTCTTCTCCTCCTTATCTCACCAGCTGGAGGAGGTACTGGGAAGGGGAAGCCTGGAGCACAATGAGATCTTGATCATCCCGACCCCAGCTCTTGCTGGCCTTGCAGAGAAAGGGGAAGGCAACTTATCCCATTCCCCTGTGCCCTCTGGACACGTAGAGCTCCCCACTTGGAGTGACTGAGGTTTTGGAAACAGGGCTGTGTGGCATGGTTGTTGCTGCAGCTGCAGGGGAGGGAGGTCAGCACTGAAGCTGCTCAGGGAGGTGTCTTTGCAAAGTGCTGCAACTGGTTTTGCAACCCAAACACCTCAGCTCAGATCCCACGCCCTATTTGCTCTCACTGCCACTCCCCTCCTGAGCTGGGTTTGAATTGCCCTACAACTAGAAAGCTTCTGATGTAGGATTTAAGCCACCCTGCCCAGCTGAAGAGCCTGTTGAACTGTATCCTGTTCTCATTTGTGCCTGTTTCAGGAGCCTTGCTCCATTTTACATAAACATCCTTGAGAGCTTTTTATTTGTTTAGATGTAGAATAACTGGATCATGTGCTGCCTCCTGGGTATGTTTTCAGGGATGGGGCCTCCACCATCTCTCTGGGCAACCTGTTCCATTGCTTTATCACCCTCATAGTAAAGAACTTCCTCCTGATATCCAATCTAAATCTACCCTGCTCTACTTTAAGACTATTTCCCCTTGTCCTATCACTCCATGCCCTTGTAAACAGTCCCTCCCAAGCTTTCCTATAGCTCCTTCATGTACTGAAAGGCTGCTATAAGGTCTCCCTGGAGCCTTCTCCTCTCCAGGTTGAATAATCCCAGCTCTCTCAGCTTGTCTTGGTAGGAGAGGTGCTCCAGCCCTCTGATCATTTTTGTGGCCCATTTTTCTCTCATATTTGAAATATACTGGGCTACTGTTTCTTGGAATTCAAGCACTCAGAAGAGCTAGGACTAGTTGTCATGAAGTCTGCCAGATGATGGCAGAGAGAGAAGGATTTTTTTTTAGAAGGGAAATTGAGAGGGACTTTGGTTGGACTTTACCTATCTCATTGACCTAAGGACCATGAAGTGAAGTGGCCTGGGAAGCTGATCCCAACTGTACAAAACAGTTGGTCCTCTTCTGAGCTAGATGGCTGTACCTACATGGGAGAGCTCTGACTACTCCAGTGTCACCAGATTGATTCCCATGCAAGGAATTTTCCCCTTGAGATAAGGGGAGGGAAGTTTCAACGAGAGCCAGCCCAGCTCCTCTTACAGTTTTCTTCCTCTCTTCTCAAGGTGGATTACGACGTGTGTAGCAACTATGGCAACTGGTTATACAGTGCTGGTGTTGGCAACGACCCACGGGACAACAGGAAGTTTAACATGGTTAAGCAAGGCCTGGATTACGACGGGAACGTGAGTCTTGTTTGGTTGTCGCGCAGCAAAGCAGGGAACAGAGGGAACAGGGAAGATCAACCTGCTGTGTGGACGCTGCTGCCAGAGCAGCTCCATGATCTACTTGCTAAGAGTCAGGCAGGTGCCTCATTGTACAGGAAGTTGTGAGGTTTCCAGCCTGCTGGTGCTTTCTGTGCCCTCCCTGCCCTGCTGTTGGGCTGTGTGTTCAGTGTGTCATCACCACTTCTTCCGGGCAACAGACACACCCTGTCAGTATCTCACACAGCCATTTCCTTCAGCACAGAACAGCTTCTTGGAGAGCTCAGAGTGGCAGGAGAGACTGAGCTCTTCTCTTTGGGAGCTCCTGTAAGTGATGGAAGCAGATAAATCGCCCTTTCCATGTGCTTACCCAGTGTTCCCATACTGGATTGCCTGTTCCCACCCTATTCCTTAGCTTCATTGCATGGTGGAGGTGTTGCCTTTCAGCACTGTAGCTGACAGGTAATCCAGGTTAAATTGGAAATTAGTCCAGTAGGAGACACAGCAGTGAAATTAATGAGATATTTGAGGGCTGGGGGTTCATCTTGCCAAGTACAGAAGTGGGGGTGCAGCTGAGCTTGTCAGTCTGGTTTCCTTCACAGTCACTGGAAAGAAAAAGAGGACTTTTGGGAGTGACTTCATCTCACTATGTCCTAAATAGGCAAGTGAACTGTACCAAAAAAAAACACCTGTGCCTGCAGAGTGAGCCTGGGAGAGGAGCTCCAGTATCCATGTCTCTCTTTTCAGGCACTAATCCTTAGCAGAGGGTTTAACAGGAGGGGCTAAGACTTGACAGAGGTAACTTGTTGTAGTACATCAGCTTCTTTACCTGGAAATCAGGCTTCTTCCTTTCATGTTAAGAAAGACCCTTACTGGGAAGCACTTACAGGTTGTTACTGAATGGATCCTGTCCTGTTGGTTCTGTTTGCAGGGGGATTATGTCCGGCTGTGGGTCCCAGAACTACAGGGCATCAAGGGAGCAGATGTCCACACCCCTTGGGCACTGAACAGTGCTGCTCTCTCCCAGGTGGGGATAACTCTGGGTGACATCTACCCACAGCCCCTCGTCACAGCCCCAGAGTGGAGCAGACACATCAGCCAGAGGCTGGTGAGTACTGGGGGGTTTCAGATGGGGTGGGAGGGCTCCAGGCACTGGCTGTGCCTGAGTTCTGCTCTTCTTTCTTAGGGATAAAGGGAAAAAATGCTGTAGTGCAAAGCCACATTGCCTGACAGCAGAGGGTGACCCAGCTCTGCACAGGGACTGTGCAGTCAGGGTTATTTAGCTGTGTCTGTCCTACTAAACTAAATAGGTCTTGAGGCCCAAGAACCAACCTCCTGTCATCCAGACAGTTACACTGTTAGTGTATTCCCCAGCCAGGGCAAACAAGCACCTTCCAGAACCTTGTCCAAGGACAATTTGAGGGTACCATGTGCTGAGGACTGTCACAAAATACAGTCTTGACAAAGCCACCCCAGATCATATGGGCATAAACTGTGCCAGGCCAGTTGGCTTTAGGGCTGAAGAATGAACCTGTGCATATTTTGTTTACTGTTTTATAAGTACTCCTACCATATATGAGTGCATTCCAACTGGAGTCCACAAGACCAAACCATTCTATGATAAAATCAGGGACTGGCCCTTGCACTTGGCTTTTCTGGGTGTATCAGCCCATTAGAATGGGGACAGATCAAGGTGTGGATCCTGTGACATGTCAAGACTTGAATCTGCTGACTGGGCTGCTGGTGTCAGGAGATGGATATGGAGGGAAAGTGATCTGTTGGTCTTTGGGGGTCAGTGGTAGAGGAGCTGGAAAGGAAGGAGGAAATGGGTGCAACCAATGGTTGTGTATTTCAAGGGATTTTCAACATTTTGTCTTCCCCCGTGCACCCTCCCTGCCTCCTCCCAAGCAAGGATATTTTATGGAGGCTCAAATGTAGTTGTCATGTGATGTTCAATAAAGGATGAAGCACATCTCCATTTGGGGTTTTAATCCCAAGGTGCAGTAGCACGTTTCTCAGGCCAGATTCCTTTGCCATGAGTGGGAAGTTTTGAAGAAGCAAAGTCTTCTGCTTCCAGCCATGCTGTTGAAGGGCCTGGATTATTACCCTCTGCTTAAAAGTGCATCTGAGGTTAGAGAAAGGACTCTGAAGGAGCCCTTCAGTGAGACATTGGTTTGAGGCAGTGATGAAATTTGAACCCAAAAAGCTCCTCTGTCTGTCTGGAGTTCCATTTTGATCAACTTTCTGGCTCACCCAGGGCTCTGTGGGGCCTGCACTGCCTCACTGTGCTTGTGAAATTAAGATATTCCCAGGAGGGGTTGTTGGCCCAGCGTTACTCAGACCTGAAGAAGAACCTCTCCCCTCAGCTCCCCCAAAATACCTTTGAAGATACAAGCCCACATCTTACTGTTCCAGTTTCCTACATCCAGGCCTAGTGCTGTGCCTCTCAGGCCTTCCCCACTTCTTGCAGACCTGAGGGTGGAAGTTCCACCTGCACATTTTTGCAATTAATCCTGCTGCTTTGTCATCAGGTTCACTCTTCAGCACCCTTAAATATCTCCCTGTTCACCTTCCATTTGCAGCAGGGAAGATGTCCCCATCCCAGGGGCAGGAGAGGACCTGCACACACACCAATGCAGCACAAGGGCAGAGGGATAGATTTCTACTTCTCTCCCAAGAAAGATGTGTGATGAAGGCTGTCCCAGGTGCATGCTGGAGAAGTGCTCTCACTGCTGAAGGTACCAGTTCATCTCCTTCAGCCAAGACAATGAGACAAGTCTGGACACAGGACAGTAACTAGGGATCTGCCTCTTCAGTGTTCCAAGGGTCAGGAGCTGGACATTGATATTTGGAGGCTGTGTATCAGCATGGATTGTGATGATGGGATCTTTGGTTTCTGCTTTTGGTACTTCAGGCTGGTGCTGTGAGCCCTTAGGCTCATCTCTCTCCAGCAGTGGCTGCCCTTCAGTGCCAAGAGTCTGACACCCATGCAAAGTTTATTATCACTCTCAACTCTCTAAAGGCCTTTGCTTGAAAGGGGCTGTCTATCTAATGTTAATTAACCAAAATGCCATGGCCTTTCTGTCTGGAGGAGGGGTGGTTGCTTTTCCAGTGCCTTTTCCTCTGCACTGGTGCTTACAGCTGTTACAGCTAAATTTCTACCTCTCTTTACAAACCAGAGCAGATGGTTTATGTGGCAGGTGTGCAGACAGAACTCGTTCTAGTGAACTTTCTTATGCTAATTTTCTGTGTTTTAAAGCTTTAAAACTTACCAGTCATTAGGTAATTAAAAGCTTTGCTACTGGAATATTTTCTCCTCCTCATTTCCACAGAGATCCACAGAGTGAGACTTCAGGGGACATTCTTTTACTGTGTAGACAGGACATGGCTCTGGATTTATCACCACTAGGGATCCATTTGGGCCTCTGTTAAAAGAGTTAACACTGTGATTATCTTATATCTTTACTTGGGTAGAAAGGTTGAGGAGTGGACTGAGGAAAGAACCGACATGGAACATAAAAACAAGTTATTCTACCAAAAAGGAGAGAAATCAAGTGATTTTGAACACACGCCCCTGCCAGGGCCATGTTATAATCTTGCCATTTGTTGTGTTGGGGGGCTGGACAGTCATGCAACCATCATGGGGTGATTTTGTGGGGTAACAGAGGAAAACAGCTTCAGGGACAGCACTGGTTCCCTCTGTGGCAGAAGTGTCTCCCTTGACCCACACCATGGGTCCTGTGTGCCCTTGTCTGGGGCTGCCCCATGGCTCCATTAAGGATGGAGAAGGGCTGAAGGACTCAGCAGCAAACCAGAGCTGCTCACCTCCTTCAGGGCCAGCCTGGCCTCAAGCCAGGGTCATGGATTAAGGGACACCATTATGATTTAGCAGCCATTCCAGATGTATTGATCACGTGAGATAGATCAACAGGTTGAATATATTAGCAGCACTTAATTATTAATCCATTTAAAGAGTAGGAAGGTCATTCAGTAGAACGGGTTATAATTAAAACAGCATCTTAATTACAGATTTGAGAATGACAAGGTTCACACCAACTTACTACAGGGCATCCCAAATAAAAAATATACATGTACTTAGGTAAAAAGGAAACGTGGACAACATAGACAGAATGTTTTTGTCCAGTCAGATGTGTTGACACCCACACCTGGGAAGGCAAACGTGTATGTTGAAGCCCAGAGGTACGTAGAGCTGGATGGAAGGGGCCAGCCTGGAGTTCATTTCCCCCCTGGAGTGTGGAGTAAACAAAACACATTGAAATTGCTCTGCGGGCAGTATTTGAGGCCTGAGGAGGTGGATCTTGCCCTGCCCTTCTCTTCAGCTGTGTTGGCAGAGAGTCCTGGAGGAGTTTGTGACCCTGAGAGGCATCACAGCTGGAGGGGATGCTGGTCACAGCTGGAGGGGATGCTGGTCACAGCTGAGGGTCTCACAATTGCTATTTATAGGCTCCTTTTCTCAGGTACTTTTCCCTTTCAGCCTAGAGCTGGATGGAAGGGGCCAGCCTGGAGTTCATTTCCCCCCTGGAGTGTGGAGTAAACAAAACACATTGAAATTGCTCAGCGGGCAGTATTTGAGGCCTGAGGAGGTGGATCTTGCCCTGCCCTTCTCTTCAGCTGTGTTGGCAGAGAGTCCTGGAGGAGTTTGTGACCCTGAGAGGCATCACAGCTGGAGGGGATGCTGGTCACAGCTGGAGGGGATGCTGGTCACAGCTGGAGGGGATGCTGGTCACAGCCTGCTGCCCTCCTGGGGAGCTCAGAGGGTCTCACAATTGCTATTTATAGGCTCCTTTTCTCAGGTACTTTTCCCTTTCAGCCTAGCTCAGGGGATGTAATATCCTGGTGTTTTCCACCACTTGTGCAGGCCCCAGAACTTGGCAGATCTGGGGACTTGTGGTAAGTCCTGGTATCACCCCCTTTTGGGCCACCACCCCAGGTATTGGGCTGGGGGGGGGGGGATTGATTGTCATTCCTCCCAGGAGACAGGGGAGGGCAGGAGCATCCAGGGGCTGCCTCCACCCTCCGGATGAGCACCTCCGTGTTGATCCTGAGGGGCTGGCACCCACTGCCATCCATCCCTGCCTTGTCCCAGCCCGGCGCCTGGTCCGGGAAGGGAGGAAAAGCAGCGGGGACGGGACGGGGCGGGGGCTGCGGGGACAGGGAGCGGGGAAAGCGGGGTTCCTGGAGCTGCCCTGGGACAAGCGGGGTTCTTGGAGCTGCCCTGGGACAAGCGGGGTTCCTGGAGCTCCCCTGGGACAAGCGGGGCCCCCGTCTGGGCGGTCCGGGCTCGGGGAAGGGGCGGGATGAGGCGTCGGGCGGGGCGAGCCGGGGAGCGGAAGAAACGAAAAAAGGGGGAAGGCT